GAAAGTTTTGTGGACAGAGGGAACAATCGTTTTTAAGTTTTTTTCGTAACCGCCAGCTACACGATTTCTTACAGATGTCAAAGGCAGTCTACTTGTACGCACTCTGTTTCTTATGACTTTCTGGGACAGAACGACTCCATTCCTAGGAGCGTGGTCACCGTAGAGAGCAGAGAGTTTACCCACTATCTTCTGAAGCACCTAATTTTAGGCAGTGTTGGCTCTGCCTGTGTGTAGAGAGTGGATAGGTATTTTGTCCCTTATTCTCAGGCGGCGCGAATCAACCTGCAGAAAGCGGATGGAGTTAGGAGGGCTGCGCACGGCTTAGCCTGACTGATTTAATGATCTTCCGTTCTCATTCCGAAACCATTCTATCAAATGGAGGCAGGCTGTGTCCATCCACCCCCGCGAAGTAATCACACGCCCTGTGAATAATGCGCAGGAGGGTCGCTGTTTCATTTACAAAATCTGACCAGTTATGACTCATTCTGACATTTCAAATCCTAATAATGCTCAGTTGTCTTCCTTTCTAGCCAGTGTTTCGTGCATTTTCCTCCAGAGTCTGTTCAGATTCTTGTCCCTCTTTTCCTCCAGGCTACAGGGAAGGTACCTGAAAGACAAGGGTCCCAAGCAGCCAGGAAGTCGGCCGAGGTCCCCCCCTTGGGTGACTCTCCCTTTTCACCTGGGAGGAAAAATCTCTCCCAGAGGCCCCAGCCCGTTTCCAGATCCTCAAGTGTCATTGGCCAGAACGGAGTCACATGTCTACCCCTAAAGCCAATCAGGGATGAGAGAGCACGCATGCCCTAAGGCTTAGGCCAATCGTAATTCAGCGCCCGGTAGAGGAGGGAGGCGGGGCTGCCCTGGACTGGTTGCTGCCCCAGACCCGCCTCCCTGGGCCAGGAAAGGGATGCCAGGGAGGGGGAAGGAGACCAGCTCCCCTTTCCGGTCGGCCCCAGGCTGCAGCCACTCCCCAGCCCCGGGCTTGCCTGTTGGTTTAACAAAGAACCCCAGAACAACAGAAGCAGGTGGTCTCAGAGTTCCGGAGGCGGAAGCCTGAAGTCCGGGTGTCCCTGTGCTCCCTCTGAAGCCTGTAGGGGGAAGCCTTCCTCCCCTCTTCCTGGCTTCCGGTGGTTGGTGGGCAAATCCGTGACCTGCTGCCTGGGTGGCCACGTGGCTTTCTCCCCTGCGTGTCTGCGACTCTCTTCTCCTGATGCGGACAGTGGGCGTATCGGATTAAACACGCGCCTTCCTCTACTGTGACCTCATCTAAACTACTTACATCTGCAGCCATTCTATTTCCAAGTAAGGTCACGGGCGCAGGTACTGGGTTAGGACTTCGACACATCTTTTTTGGAGGCCGCAAGGCAACCCTTAACAGGTTTTGTGAGACTCCGTGTAACAAATGGTCTTTTTGCATTACCTAAATCCAGAGATTTTTTTTTCTGTAGTGTATAACCAAAGAGTCCTTCTAGTATAGGATTCTAACAGGGGTTCAAACCGAGTCCGAAGAAACGGGTGTCACACATCACCTCCTTACCAAAGCCTCCTTGCTTGCAGAAACAACTTAGAGAAGCTTACGTAATCACCAAAGAGCAGTTGTATCTCTCTCGAACCAAAGTCCTTTTTCAGGAGAAGGTCTTGTATAACTCTGAATACAGAGGGTTTGCTTGCCAATTAGAGAATGAGCATGGGAAAATTCCTAAAATTAAGAAACAGTCTTCTCTTGAAAATTATTCTTGCCAGTCAGAAGAAAATTCAGGGTGATGTGTCTTGTTGCTGCACTTTGTGAAAGGGTAGCTTTGAAGTAACACTTTTTTCTTCATCTTTGAACTACCTGGTGCATGAGCCCGCCCCGGGGCATTTGTGCTTCCTCCTAGCCCCTGCCCGCTATCTGGACATGGATTTTTTTAAAAACCTTTTACGCTTATTTATTTATTTTGAAAGAGAGAGAATCCCAAGCAGGCTCCATGCTATCAGCGCAGAGCCCAGTGTGGACATTGAACCCACGAACCGTGAGACCATGACCTGAGCTGAAATCAAGTGTTGGTTGCTCAACCAACTGAGCCACCCAGGCACCCCTGATTTTTTTTTTTTTTTAAGATTTTAGTTTTGGAGCGCCTGGGTGGCTCAGTTGGTTCAGTGTTCGACTCTTGATTTGGGCTCAGATCATGATCCCAGGGGCATGGGATTGAGCCCCATGTCGAACTCTGTGCTGACCATAAAGCCTGCTTGGGATTCTCTCTGTCTCCCTCTGCCTCCCTTCCCTGCTCTCTCTCTCTTTTTTTTTTAATGTTTTATTTATTTCTGAGAGACAGAGACAGCGTGAGCAGGGGACGGTCAGAGAGAGAGGGAGACACGGAATCTGAAGCAGGCTCCAGGCTCTGAGCTAGCTATCAGTACAGAGCCTGATGTGGGGCTTGAACCTACAAACCGTGAGATCATGACCTAAGCCCAAGTCAGACACTTAACCGACCGAGCCACCCAGGTGCCCCTCCCTGCTCTCTTTCTAAAATAAAATTTTAAAAAATTAAGATTTTATTTTTAAGCAATCTCTACACCCAACGTGGGACTCAAACTCACAACCTCAAGATCAAGAGCAGCATGCTCTTCCGACTGAGCCAGCCCAGTGCCCCTGGACATTGATATTCTTAATATTCAGAACCTACAACCAGTTGTACACCCTCATCTAACCAAGCCCACTCCAAGGCTTCCGACATTTCAGAGCTGGGACAGCCTCCTCCTCATGACACCTGTGACACTGCCACATCCCCACCAGGCTGTACTTGACTTACAGAGGTGCGAGGAGACGGTTACAGCACTACCTTGACTCGCTCATTCCAAACTTGGAGGGCTTGTGAGAGCTGGTGAAATTTTCTAATTAGTATTTTCCTTTTTTAAAAAAAGTTTATTTATTTTTGAGAGCGAGAGAGCGAGAGAGAACGTGTGCATGTGAACAGGGGAGAGGCAGAGGGAGAGGAAGAGAGAGAGAATCCCAAGCAGCCTCCATGCTGTCAGGGCAGAGCCCAAAGCGGGGCTCAGTCTCAAGAACCATGAGATCAAGACCTGAGCCAAGATCAAAAGACTGATGCTCAACCGACTGAGCCCCTGGCAGGCGCCTCTTCAGGGAAATACAGTCTAAACCCAGGAAGGTCTGAAACTAAGTATATAAATGACAAAGTAAAGGAACACACGGTATTAATACCTTTATGTTAAATTTAAAAGCAATCTATATGTCATATTGTGATGTGTACGGAAATTTTGTCTGCCTCATAAAAGGCGTTGTACCAAGTATATTTCGGTACAGTTATTTATAGGAACAGACCTATGAGGATGGGCTTCTGAGCAGACGTGTTTAGACAGCCATCATTCCTATCATCAGGCTGAGTCAGGATTTCCAGGATTATTCTAGTTCAGACACAGAGAACTTCGTGAAACCTGAATGTTGTCCCCAAATCCAGCAGAACAAGAATTAGTTAAGTCAGATTGTGTAAATGATCTGTGAAACACACTTGCAGTTTTTTTGGTTTTTTTTATGTTTTTTATTTTTATTTATTTCCGAGAGAGAGAGACAGAGCGAGCGAGCGAGCATGAACAGGGGAGGGGCAGAGAGAGAGGGAGACACAGAACCTGAGACTCTAGGCTCTGAGCTAGCTGTCAGCACAGAGCCCCACGCGGGGCTTGAACCCACGAACCGTGAAGTCATGACCTGAGCCGAAGTTGGACGCTTAACCGACTGAGCCACCCAGGCACCCCAACACACTTGCAGTTTTATTGCGATATTTCTTTGCAATATATTTGCAGTATTAGTAGTATCGTTTTAACGTTCTGTGCATTTGGCCGCCCTGGGTCCCGATATTTGGTGCTCGCAGAACCAGCTAGGTACCAATGCTCTTATGGAATCCCTTCCACACTGGGCAGTGCCCTGTGACCCCAACACTTCCTGCTGTCCTCAGACCACTTCCCACCAAAACCCGTCCAGCCTGATGATTTTCAAGTGATGCTTGAGGAGTGGAAGCAGGCTGCCTCCTCAGAGCTAAACTTTGCCCTTCCCATACCTTCCCTTTGACATTTTCAAAACAATAACACTTTTCAAAAGTCATCTCTACCCCTTAAGTGGGTGTATTATATTGCGTAAGAATTATAGCTCAATAAAGTTGATTTTTAAGGTTTAACACAAAAACTTACATCGGCAAAGCTATGGAGAAAGAGAACACTCGTGCGCTGCTGGTGGGAATGTAAATTGGGGTAGCCACTGTGGAAAACTGTATGAAAGTTCCTCAAACAATTCAAAATAGAAGGACCATGCGATCCAGCAATGTCCCTTCTGGGCATATACCCACAGGAAATGAAAATAGAGTATCAAAAAGATACCTGCACCCCTACATTCACCGTAGCATTCATTATTCACAATAACCAAGATACGGAAACGCGTGAATGTCCGAAAATGGATGAATAGGTAGTGATGTGATGTAGATAACACAACGGAACGGTGTTCAGCCATGAGAAAGAAGGAAAGCCTATGACTTGCAGCATCGGCCTTGAGGGCATTACGCCAAGTGAAATATACCAGAGAAAGACAGACCCTGCGTGGTACCATTTATATGTGGCATCAAAGGAAAAAAAGTCCAAATCATAGAAACAGAGAGTTGGCTGGTGGGGCTGGGAGTGGGGAGATAGAGAGAGGTTGGTAAAAGGGTACAGACTTGTAGCTACGGGATGAGCGAGGTCCAAGGATCTCACGGTGGCTATAGCTGTGAGCACTATCGTATAATTGGAATTTACCAACAGAGTAGGATTTGCAGTTCACACACACACACACACACACACACACACACACACACACACAAAGATGAATCCGCGAGCTTATTAACCTGATGGGGGACCCTTACACGGTGTATACAAGCATCAAATCGCAATGATGTACACTTCAAATGCCTTACCATTTGGTAGGTCGGTTATACCTCAGCAAAGCTGAAATCAAAACAAACAAACGAACACCTGAGGAAGTCTAGACGGTCTTTTAACGCCAAGGAGGGAAACATTCAAAATGGTGGCAGCGGCCCAACCTCCCGGGGCTCAGTCTTCTCCCATGGGGTCCGGTCAGGGGTCTCGGGGGAAGGCCCCCTCCCGCTCCCTGCAGGTTGGTGGCTGAGTGGCCCGTGGGCAGCGCCCGGTGACCGCGCTAGCCGGCCATGCCCAAGGGGGCCTCGCACACCCAGCGGTAGGGTCTCTGGCAGACGTCATCATTCCAGCCACCGTCGGGGTGTAAATGGGCGCAGTCCTCGCCCCCACCCAGCCCATGCCCGTGCCAGTCGTCCGGCTGGCCTGGTTTCCAGTTCCTGCGGAGAGAGGACAATGGCCAGTGGAACCAGAACCCAGGTCAGGGGACAAGGAGCTGAGGGTCAGACGCTGGAGAAGCAAGAGCTGAAGGGGCCCGAAGGGCACAGAAGGCCAGGGCGCACTCACTTGAAGTTGGTCTCGTAGTCCGTCCCATCCACCCATTTCCAGACTCCTTCGGGATCACTGAGGCCCATCCAAGCGTGTGAAGAGCCTGTATGTTGCTGCACAAAATTCTGAGGCGACAGAAGGTCAAGGGTGACTTCTCCCCAGCCCAGCCGACTCCTCGGACTCGCAGTTCTGAACTTGACCTGCCCGGTCAACCCGTTGGGGACACCGGGATCCCCATGCTCCAGCCAATGAAATCTGCGAGGGTGGCTGAGCCGGGTGGCAGATCTCCATCAAGCCCCCCAGGCGATCCCAGAGCCCAGCCAAGGCTGAGCACAGCTTCCTTCTAGGGGACCCAGCCAGCCCGGGCGCCCACCTGCTCCTCCCTGGAGGTGATGACCACCAGGTGCGCGTTCTCCAGCCGGCAGTGCTTCTCGGCGTCCGGCCAGGTCTTCCCCGAGCGCGAGAACCAGTAACAGCTGCCCTCGAACTCCAGCCAGTTGACGGGGCAGCAGGTGCTTTGAGAAACTGAGGGGCCGGGGGGTGGGGAGGGTCTGAGATGCCGCCCAGAGGGGGACGAGCAGGAAATGGGGCCCGGCACCCCCGTGCCCCTCACCATTGCTTTGGAGAGTGGCCACCTGGCAGGTCAGGGATTTCAGGTCTTTGGCCAGCTGCTGGACTCGAAGGAGGGTGTCGGAATGACCTGGGACACACACACACAGCCGGGCAGCGCGGGCAAAGCCTGGGTGCTCAGCGCGCCCCTGGAAGCCAGGCCTCCGCGAGGCCCAGACTAGGGACCTTCGCGGCCCCTCCCACGCGGGCCATACCCCCGGGGACGGGAGCAGGGGCCCCACCTGCTTTCAGCTCCTGCTGCTCCTTCTCCAGCTTGCTCTCCAGAGACAACACCTTGTCGTTCAGGCTGCGGGCTGCAGGACAGGGCGCTCAGCACCGAGGCCGCTCCCGCCCCCGCGCCCCTGCCCAAGGGCCCAGCGCCCGCTCCTTTGGTCCTTCGAAGGGGCTCACCTGCTTGCAACTCCCGCTTGTGATTTTCCACCTCCGCCTTCAGAGACGTTACTGTTTCTTGCAAACTGCCACCTGGAGGGGACATGTGGAGGGGTGGGGACTCGGTGCTCAGGACCCTGCTCTGCCCTCCCCTCCCCCGCCCCTGTGGAGTCTGGGGCTGGAGCCCTTTCCATGCCCGGCTCACCCTGGGAGTTCAGTGCCTGGAGCTCAGCCCTGGTGTTTGAAGTGAAGTTGCTGAAGGAGGCCCTCAGGGTCACCAGGTCCCCCTGAAACTTGGAATCTGATGGGGGAGGGGACGAAGCGGTGCAGGGATTTATTGGGCCCCCTGTGAGCCGGCTCACGACAGCATGGTCCCCACCGGCTCCTCATGTGACCCAACCCATGGGGACAGGTGCTGTGGTTACCCACTCTCAGGTTTGGAGGGGTGAGGCCATTGGGCTACAGTGGCCCACCGTGAAGTGACGGAGCCCGCAGTCACCCTACCTGCCACCTCCCCCCCCCTCCACGAGCTCTCTCCTCCCTGCCCACGCCGCTCCCCTCACTCTGGGATGTGATGACGCAGATGCCAACCAGCAGGAGGAGGCTGACGGCCAGGGAGAGCAGAAAGGGCCGGGGGCCAGAGCAGAGCCGCTGCAGGTGGTGCAGAGGAGAAGGCAGCCCTGCAAGGGGCGAGGGTGTCAGGACCCGGCACATGGCGGGGGGACAGGGACCCGTGGGGGATGAGGGCTGACTCAGGTTATGCTGGTGGTGGGGGGGGACACCCAGGCCTCTGACCCCTCACGGATCCGCACGAGCCCTTGGTCACCTGGGCCCCTCACACCCATGGGGACGCACAGACACAGGGACCCGCAGATGGAGGCTGACGGTGACGGCAAGGCCCTATCAGAGTTGGGAGAAGGGCAGAAGGACCCAGAGAGAGCCGGAGCGCCACCAGGCTTGAGCTCACCTGTACTGTCAGGTTCAAAGGTGAGGTTTCCTTCTAAACCCAAACGCTTCCCCCTCAAGCCAACTCTCACCCCTCCCCCAGAGCAGAGGGATCCAGGCCCCCTGTGGCCCTCCCTGCCCCCATCTTTCTTAGGACCTTGTGTCCTCCTCACACTGGGGTCCCCAGAGGCTGGGGCCGGACCCCCTCAGAGTGGGAGACCCCCCGCCGTGCCCACGCACGATAGGGGTGCAGACATGACAGCAGAAATCCGCTAGGCGTGAAGAGGGTATGGAAGGAGGGCACGGTTTCCCCATCCCTCTTACCATTTCTAGACCCCTGGCTCTGCTTCTCCCTCTCCGAGTGCTGGAATTTTTCATACTGCATTGACATGCTGGGGCCAGCGCTGGGACTGCCCGAGCTGAAACGGAGGCAGGGCCGGGGGCCAGGCTGAGGCGGGAGCTGGGGCGAAGGGGCGGCCCGGGCCCGGGCAGGGGGACCCCCAGTCAGGCCCAGAGTCAAAGGAAGAGGGGAACTCAGGTGGAGGGCGAGCCCGGGGCCGAGGGAGGCTTGGGCAGGGTTCTGGGTTTGCGGGTGAGGTCGGACGTGGGGTCAGGACTGTGGGTTGCGCCGAGCTGGGGTCGGCAGGGGCGTGTCCCCCGGGTGGGGTCGGGGCTCCTAGCGGACCCCAGGATGTGGCCGAGCCGAAGCCTGGTGCCGAAACTGGAACCAGAGTCCAGGGTCAACACTGGGAAGGGCTGGTTGGTGTTAGGGTTGCACTTGACTTTGAGGTCCAAGCTGGGGCTGGGGCTTAAGGGAGAGCTGGGGTCAGAACCGAGGTTAGGGCCAGGTGGGGGCTGGAACGGGGCTGAGTGTGTGGCTGAGATTTGGCCCCCACACTTCAAGCCCAATGCAGCGAAGGGAATAGAGTCTAAAACCTCCCCTTGGCCATTAAATCCCCAAGCCCCCCTTGACGTCTCTTGGTCTCCCCTAGGTCGCCGGCCGGTTACCTGCGTCTGGAGGTTGCAGTTCCGGGGTTCCTTGTATAGCAACACCCAGAGTCGGAAAACACGAAGTCTTGGAGACCCGGGGTGGGGGCCACCGAAGCGACCCGAGTCCGGCTGGGGTCTGTGTGGGAAAGGCCAGGAGGCTGTCCGCTGGGCTCTCCCGCGTCCCCAGCTGAAGTGGAGAAGGGCTCGGAAGGGGAACACAGGCGAGGTTTGTGCAAGGTGGGGGTTGGACACAGGGCAGCCCCACTCTCCTCCTTCCCTGGGCTGTATCTACTCCCTTTCCCCTCCTCTTGAGCCGCCCCCCGCCCCGGCCCCCCGCCCGGGACTTCCTCATTTTTACCATTTGGGAGAGGAGAACAGGACCAGAAGCCACCAAAGGCCAGTCCATCATTTCTCCTCGCCCACGCTCCCTTTCGCTTCCTTTGTCGAAAGTTCCCAGAACTGTCCCCATCCGTGCACAGCTGGGGCCAGAGGAGCCCATCTCTGCGCTGTTGCTCAATGTCACCAAGTCCTGGCACACGAGCGTCCCCGGTGTGGGAGGGAAGAGCTGATGGCAGAGTGAGGTTTCCTGGCTGCAACCGCAGGAAGGAGCCAGGAAAGGGAAATTTTACGGAGCATCAAATCTGTCCTGGGGAAGGTGCTGGACGCGCCAGGCGTTAACAGTTCCGTGCCCATGAGAATCTTGGGAGCAGTTTTGGATGGTGGACTGAGTGAGGCTCAGAGCCGGGGCGTGGGCTGCCCCGGGTCTACTGAGTGGAAAGGGCCTGAATTCAAAGCCACCCTGGCCTGGCCGTCTGCACACTTTGGGGCACCGTCTTCAAGAAAAGGGACTGGATTTAATCCCGTCACCTGTAAATCTCATTTACACACACAGTGTGAATTCACACACATAGTCTTTTCTTTTTTTCTTTTTCTTTTTTCCTTAATGTTTATTTATTTTTGAGAGAGAAAGAGAGAGAGAGAGAAAGAGAGAGAGAGAGAGACAGTGCGTGAGCGAGGAAGGAGCAGAGAAAGAGGGAGACACAGAACCCGAAGCAGGCTCCAGGCTCTGGGCTGTCAGTGTAGAGCCCGGACGCAGGGCTCGAGCTTGTGAACTGCCAGATCATGACCTGAGCGAAGTCAGACGCTTAATCGCTTAATCGCTTAATCGACTGAGCCACCCAGGTGCCCTGAGATAGGATCAATGTTTAATAAGTCCATCAAGAGTAGGGTGTCAAGAAAGGCCTTCCTGGGAAAGGTTATATGCGAGAAACGGTCTCCAGGAGGTGAGGGAGCCAGTCATGGGGGGCTCCAGGAGGATCAGGGCTCCGAATGGAAGGCACGGCAGGTGCAAAGGCCCTGGGGTGAAAGAATATCTAGGGTGTGTAAGGATCACGCGTTTGCCAGACATTTTATAAAGGGACGAGCTAGAGAGAAGAGGAATAGATGAGCCTCAGAGGGAAAAGGAAGATCACCTATTCATTAGGGCACTTGGGCTCTCGTTAAGCATTTATTTTCACTCCAAGGTAGAAGGGTAGAATTTGGAGGGGTTGGAGCAGAGGAGGGAATGAATGACCGGATTTCTATGTCAACTGTAACGTGTGACGCCTGGGCTGTGAATCCCGTGAAACGATAGAAGAGCGGAACCCGGTAGGGAATCCGGCTGAGAGGTACGTTCGGAGGTGGTGAGAGGGATTCTGCTTCTGGACATGCAGTGAAGGTGGAGTTAACAGGATTTTGCTGATAAGGTTTCACACACACACAGAAGAACAATTCTCCTTCCAGGTCCCAAAATAAAGTAAACTTTGAGCGTTTCCCATATTGCTGACTCCTGAGGAAAAAGTGCTTTATCCCTGATGTTTGCAAAGCCAACGCCTCAAGATATGTGATGACCTTTTGGAACTGTGTGGATCGTGTGACAGCAGGGCTGCGGTGTCATCCGAGCCGATGGATTAGAAGCTTGTTAACACTGGTGAGGGCGCAGTTTTCCCCGGAACACGCCCTGCACTTTCAGTCCGTAAGCCTGGCCTCCCCAAGGCCAATGCCTTCCTGACTTCTCTGCAAGTTCCCCTCTCTTCCTTCCTAAAGGCTTCTGTCTCTGAGCCTTCTTGAGGATCCTAGCTTCTGTCTTCCAGTACTTTCTCCATGCTGCCTAAATCCTCTGCCAGCACCTCAGCGGCTCAGGATTTTTTTTTAACCCGGTGCACTGACCCCAAACTTCATGTCCACAGTATCGAGTCCTTGGGGCTCCTCTGTTTCCTGCGTCACCGTGACTTACCACCGACCATTACACTGTGATGGGGGGGAGCTCCTATTCCCTCCCTTGCAAAGCAGCGTACCCATCTGCCTTTTTTTTTTAATGTTTATTTATTTTTTAATTTTTTAAAAACTTTTTAAAAATATTTTATTTTATTTTTGAGGGAGAGAGAGAGACAGCATGAGCAGGGGAGGGTCAGAGAGAGAGGGAGACACAGAATCTGAAGCAGCTCCAGGCTCCGAGCTGTCAGCACAGAGCCCGGCGTGGGGCTCAAACCCACGAACCATGAGATCACGACCTGAGCCGAAGTCGGACGCTTAACCAACTGAGCCACCCAGGCGCCCCTAAATGTTTATTTATTTTTGAAAGAGAGAGAAAGAGTGTGAGCAGGGGAGGGGCAGAGAGAAAGAGGGAGACACAGAATCCGAAGCAGCTCCCGGCTCTAAGCTGTCAGCACAGAGCCCGATGCTGAGATTGAACTCACGAACCGTGAGATCATGACCTGAGCCGAAGTCGGATGCTTAACCGGCTGAGCCACCCAGACGTCCCAGCCATCTGCCTTCTTAATCAGAATCAATCACCCCCAAAGTACCATTACCCCCACCCCCCACCTAGTGGTATTTGGAGGAGCCCAAATCAGGCAGGAGTCAGTCTCATCTTCAAATTTCAGGAGAACCAGGTCTGTTTCCCTGGGGGTGGGGGTGGGGGGTGGAGGGCGTAGGCGAAGAGTAAACACCCCTCCTGCGGGTTGTCAGGTGTCGGCGAGAGGAGAGGCTGCCACCCCGCCCCCGGCTGTCCCCTGGTTGTGATGTGGCCGGGCCATGGGGAGGCCGCTGATTGGAGGTAGACACCCCACCAGTAGCTCAGGCAGAGAGGTCAGGAAAAGGTGATAACATAATACATTTACCCCATTTCCAGCCACCAAGCCCAGAGACGGCAAGCTGATGGGGGTCTTTTCAGACTTATTTCTGGGCATTTGTATGCCTGTAAGCATATAGACACAGATGTGGTCGGTTGGGTTTTGTTTTTCTCTTTACACACATTTTTCTCTGTAACTTGCATCTGCTTAGATGCGGCCGGGCCCCTGGGGGGGCTCAGTCGGTTGAGCGTCAAACTCTTGACTTCAGCTCAGGTCCTGATCTCACGGTTCCTGAGTTTGAGCCCTGCATCAGGCTCTGCGCTGACTGCGCGGAGCCTGCTTGGAAGTCTCTCTCTCCTTCTCTCCCTGCCCCTCCTCCGCTTGTGCGCACGCGCTCTCTCCCTCTCTCCAAACAAATAAACTTAGAGAGAGAGACAGAGAGAAAGCCTAGAGCTTAAAACAAGAAGAAATGTGTCTTAAGGTTTTACCATGCCACTGCCCACAGCCTCCGGTTTAAAGGCCACACGGGGCTCATTAACGACTCCCTCGGCATTGCGTTTTTGAGAAGCAGATCCTTTGATTGTGTTAATAATCCGAAGGGAACAGGCTCCTATATGCCTGTTGGTGCTAAGAAGCAAGGATTGCTCTCCGTTGCACATCGAGGAATAAAATGAGCAGAGACATCATTATCCATCATCTTCCCCCTACCGTGTAGAAGGATATTCATTTAGCCACAGCTTCACCGACAAACCTGTTAAGTTCTTGCCAGCGTGGTGTTCAAGAAATACCTTCTCTCTTGTGTCAGTGAGTGCTTAACTGATCACTGGCTGGGGAGAAACAAAGCTTTGCGTTGTGTTTTAGGCTTAGAAACTGCCAGAAGCTCTTATTTTTTAAACGTTTTATTTATTTCTGAGAGAGAGAGAGAGACAGCGTGAGCAGGGGAGGGTCAGAGAGAGAGAGGGAGACACAGACTCTGAAACAGGCTCCAGGCTCTGAGCTGGCAGTCAGCACAGAGCCCGACTTGGGGCTCGAACCCACGAACCGCGAGATCATGACCTAAGCGAAAGTCGGACACTTAACCGACTAAGCCACCCAGGCGCCCCCTGGGATTCCCATTCTTGCCAACCCCAGGCAGAACTCTAACCAACGGCCATTGGGCGCCAGGGTAGATGCGCCCCGGGTCCCTTGTTCCTGACAGGGGAAAGCCGCGTGAGACAGGACCTGTTGTTGGGGGGGACTGTGCTCAGGATCACCTAGTCACATTTCCTAACGAGTCACTTTCCAGAGTCTCAGGCCGGGGTCACCCTCTGGGGCCCCCTTGCATAACTTCCTCCTCCTAACCCCCCACTCCCCCATCTATTTTCCTGGGAACTCTTTCTGATAAATCACTCTCAGGGACTTGCCACTGGAGAATCTAGGCCAGGAGTCACGGGCTGTTCTGTTCCTCCTTCCTCTTCCTTTCCTCTTCTCCTCGCTGAGCCTCGAGGGTTGGGGCGAAGGAGGGAGGAATTCAAGGAAGAGCCCCGTGATCTGGTGCCATTGTGGCTGGAGGTCAGGACGTTCTTCACAGCAGGCCTCCAACACTGGCCTTCCGTGGTGTCTGTTGGTGGTGCCTCTGCGACTCTTATGGGCCCCTCTGCACCATGGCAGCCTGTCCCAGGGACAATGAATTCTCCGGCTGCCCTCTGATGGCCACCATCGGCCCCTGCCCCAATGGCCACCATCAGCTGCTGCCCTGATGGCCATGATGAGCCCCTCCCCCAATGGTCACCAGGAGCCCCTGCCCCAATGGCCACCATCAGCCGCTGCCACCATGACCACCATCAGCCACTGCCCTGATGGCCACGATGAGCCCTTGCTCCAATGGCCACCATCAGCCGCTGCCGCCATGACCACTGTCCATCAGCAACTACCCTGGAGTCCAGCCATGCATGCACGGTCTCCTTCAGCCTCACTCTGCCACGAAGTCCTCTTGGGCAGGGTCCTTCCTGGATGGCCCAAGCCTTGCACCCATGGAGTCCACCAGGCTCGCATTTTCTGTGACATCCTCCCCTGACAGAGGACCAAGTGCAGCGGGACCCATGA